ACTCTTCAACCGCTGCACCACCAGGGAAGCCCGTGGTGATGTGTTTTTAAATCAAGATATTTCTAACAGTAACATCAAAGGATGCTCTGTATTCATACTAGCCCAACATACCTCAAACCTCAGAAAGAGGCTAGAGTTAAGTATCTCATTTTCTAGGTGGTTTTTGTAAACATTTGGACTTACAAATTTCAAGTAAAAATATGTTTTTGTTGTAAACAGAAATATATTGGCATTGCCTAAGTGTATTTCCAAGATATTTCCACTTAGGTTTTCTTATTTATTGCTGAAGTTAATTATGAAAATAGTGTCATCCCCAATTCATACATTCTCATTTTTATTATTATAAAATAGTGGACCTTTTATAATAGCTTTATAATTTAGCAATTAATTGGAAACGAAGCCTGTATTACCGTTCAGTTCAAAGAAGGAATTAAAGCAGGAAGTGAAGCATTTAACTCATTTTCAAGTAAATTATTAAACATCCCCCAAGAACTAATTAGTCTTTCTCTTGCTCTGATTCCTTAAAACAAAAATACATTAGCTATTAGCAGCAGTGCCTTAATGCTGCCTAGGATTCTTGTAGTAGTCAAACCAGAAGAGAATTGCTGGATAGTCCTTATTTTTAAGAACTTGAGCATGAAATTCTAAGGTGCTCATGGAGCATTATGTATTTGGTGGGGGGGAGGGGGGAGTCATATTTTACTGTTTTAATTCAAAAGCTGTTGTGTAAAGTTTATGTAGCAAAAGCCAGATAGCATGTGCTGTTTCATTGTAAATTTCAGAGATGATCAGTTTCTAAGTTATAAATACAGATATTTCATGAAACAAATGAACCTGTCTACGAAACAGACTTACAGACATAGAGAACAGACTTGTGATTGCCAAGGGGGAGGAGGGTGGGAGAGGGGTGGAGTGGGAGTTTAGGGTTAGCAGATGCAAACTGTTATATACAGGATGGATAAACAACAAGCTTCCACTGTATAGCACAGGGAACTATATTCAATATCCTGTGATAAACCATAATGGAAAAGAATATAAAAAGAATGTATAACTGAATCACTTTGCTAAACAGCAGAAACTAACACAACATTGCAAATCAACTATACTTCAATAAGGTAGATAGATAGATAGATAGATAGATATAGATAGATAGAGATATTTCAGAGGTGATTTAGTGAAAGAGATCACTAGCCTATTTCTAGGATCTATTTGGAGAGAAAGCAGATCTAGTATTTCCAATTCAGTAAATCTGGAAAGAGTCAAATTTCAGGCAGATCATTGAAATTGTTTAATGTGGACCAAACTCCCATTGTGTGGGATCCTGAGTACTGTGTTTAGCTGGCCTCAGCTGTTGCATGCCACGTGCAAGGAGAGTGCCACCACATACAGGACCACTCCCCTGTGCAGATTTTTCTTACAAGCCCAGTCATCCTAACAGCCCTTGGTCAGGTGAGTGTGGTGCCCAGGGGAATTCTGAAATACTTCTGCTGCTTCTGTCTGCAGATAGACTTATCCCATCTCTCTGACTTGAGTAAAATGAGATTCCCAAGGAGTATGTAAGCTGAAGAACATTCATTGTTGCCAGATTACATTTGACGTAGTTCAACACCTTGAGAAAGAACATTGTAGTTACTTCTGCCAAAAGGAATCTTTAAACCAGCCTGTCACCTTCATGTGTTAATGGTATTGTCTACATCAGAGATTTTCAAGTTGCGCATTATAGTTATCTGGGAATCAGGGTCTCCGTTCTTTTCAAGTTCCTCAAGTGATTCTGGGTTAAGAACCACTGGTTGAAATAAGCTTGATCTTTGATTTCTGAAGTAGCCAGTAATAAAAAGGAAAAAAGATATTAATAAGATAGTCATAGGTATTTACAAATGCATTGGGGCAGCTTGCTTTTTTTAGTTAGTTAACATTTCTTCAGTCAATTTCTGATGTGGATACAGACTCATACGGCAGAATAAAGGTTGTGAGAACAGTTTTCTAGATCAGGGCCTCGCTGCCCTAAAGGACTCCCAACAGCTTTGAACGTGATACAGACACATGTGCTAAAATTTTTTCTTAGCCTCTTTGTGTCACCAAGGGGTGTTTGCCAGAGGATATAGTTGTTCCATTAATCTAGTTTATTTGGTATTTATATATTTTTATCCTTGACTCTCTAATAACATTTTTTTTTTTAATGAGAAAAGCAGTATCTATTCAGTGGAGAAAATTTGGGAAATGTAGAGAAGTATAGAGAAAAAAAAAATAATGATCTGGTCCCACAATTTAAAATAATTACTGCTAACATTTTTCATTTCTTTGCTGTACTAAATTGTCACTTTCCAAAGATGGCTTCTAATTTTAATATTCTAGGATTTGATATATACATTTGAAATTTGTCATAATGAAAAACAGTTCCAGAAGGGATCTCTGAGACACTCTGTACACTTTAAATGTTATTTTTTGTTAGACAGAGAAAGATAGATACTCCATGTTATCACTTATATGTGGAATCTAAAAAATAAAACAAACGAATGAATATAACAAAACAGAGACAGTCTCACAGATGTAGAGAACAAGCTAGTGGTTACCAGTGGGAAGACAGGAGTGGGGAGGGGCAAGATAGAAGTAGGGGATTAAGAGGTACAAGCTACTATGTATAAAATAAATAACCTACATGGATATATTGTACAGCGTAAGGAATATAGCTAATATTTTATAATAACTTTAAATGGGGTAAAATCTATAAAAATACTGAATCACCGTTGCATACCTGAAAATAATATAATACTGTAAATTAGCTATACTTCAATTTTTTAAATTTAATCTTTTTTTAATGTTATTTTTACTCTTAGTATTTTTTTAGTTTTTCTGTTCCTAAATCAGTGTCTTCCTGCAAGATCCTTCTCAGTGACTTAATATTTAATGATCTTTGACAGGTAAATTAAACAGTCATTTTTAAATCACAAATGTGGCTTCCCTCTATAACATACATATTTACCCTCTCAAAGTATTCCACTAAGTAAATCAAGCTTGATAACCCTTCTGCAGAAATCATACTGTCTCTTCTCCCTTTATAAATACATTTCAAGTAAATTCCTCAGGCGTAGAGGCTGAACACTAGTCATTGATCTGTACCACCGGATCAATCATTGATCTGCTCCACTTAAAGGTGGGAGCCACCATATTAGCAGACCTAGCCCTTTGACAGTGGCCTCTTTGTAGTGCCAGATTTCCGAGACTCCACGGCAGTTTCAGTTTGACCTTGAGTGACTTTTACATTTGGATACTCTCTGACCTGCATTATTTCTTAAATATTCATATGCTCCTGACCTTCTTTCAAACCCCAGCCCCCTCTACTGCCTCCCCCCAACCCCCCAACCTCTGAGTCAGGTACTCTTCTGTCTAATTTTCATGGCATGCTATTGAAAAGTAGCAAGTATAGATGAGATTGCTTTGAAAATCAAAATTAAATAATACTAAAAATGAAGACAGACTTAAGCTACCTGTGTTATACAAAGTATGTATCAGTGCAGTCAAATGATTTAGCCAAAAACAAAGGCAGTTACAACTGTTCCAAGATTAACATTTGGTTAAGATAAAATAACCAGCGTTCCTTTAAAACATAAGCAGGTAATAAATGTTTTTTTTCTGCTAAAGAAAAATTTATATCTATAGTTGTCTCTTTATGTTACTTTCCAACACTGTAAAAATATTTTCCTGTACTGCATATCAACACAGTTCTTACCTGTGTGCGTGAGATGTCACCTATAAATGCCTTGGTCCCTTATTGGATAACATTGGGGAAAAAAAGAAGTTTTGAGTTCAACGGATGAGTAGATTTAACTGATGTATAGAAGTTTGAGTTTAATAAGTAAATGTGTAGATTTAAAAACAAATTACTTACCTTGAATAAAACTTTTTAAAAGTAGATTAAACCAGTCATTTAACAACCAAAACAGGTATTATTGACATGAAACATTGGTAACTAGACTGAAAATAAAAATGTCTAGGTATAAAGTTTTCAAGATTTAATTTTTACTTATGCATTTAATCTTAATATTAGTAAATTTTTGTTGCAGATTTAGCTAAATCAGTAACGTAGTATTTGTTAACCATGATAGAAATGCTTATTTTCTATAATATGGGGGATAAAAATTATATAAACCAAGTGTTACAAATTGCAATTATGAACAGACTTGTCTGCTTACAAATGGTACAAACTTTGTTGGCCTTTTACCATTTTATATTATATATATAAAATTGTCTTTTGAACGCTTTAATTCTTGAGTCCAGAGCCTGCTAAAATGAATATTTTTCTAGAGGCAGTAATTAAGTACAATATAGCTGGAAATGTGAAACATGGTTTCAGCCTTTTAAGGACCTAGGGAGATTCACTTAGTCTTTGCTGAATAAATTTTAGTTTGCATGTCTTGGAAATCATTCTACATACAGTGTTATACTTTGAGAAAATCCAAAATAGAGTATATGTAAATGTATATCAAGATTAATAAAATGGTGATTGTCTAAGTGACAAGATATATTATTATATTATTTGTAGAGAACTAAAATTTTTCTGAATAACCTTATAAAGAACTGAATATCATTTTAAGCTTTTTTTTAACTATATAAAAGTAATTGATTAAGTCATGCCATTTTTCTCCTTTTAAGTTTATAGGTTGTCGCCCTTTAGTTTATCCCTTGAATCTTGATGCTTTTATTATCTATTCTAGTATATATAGGAATATTCATTAATTGACAATATTGGTTATGTTTATAAAGTAAAACCTTTATTGCAATTAGTAAGCTTTTTTATAACCTTGGAAGTATTTTGTAGCATTTAATACTTGTTTGAAATGGTTTATATTAAGTTGATTCTATGCAACCTTGGGATAATATGTAAACAACTGCACTATTAGGAAGATATTAAAGTAGAGGCTATATTTACAGTGTCGTCTTTCAAATCTAGCTATGCTGTAAACTGATGTTTGCTGTATGCTCCTCCTGATTTGAAATAGATGAAAGAAAATGAACCTATTATCACCATGGTTCACACAATGATTGAGAACTCGGCGCTAAGACCCCAACTGTACCAGCAAGTAAGGTCTTGGACAGTGAATGATACTGCTTTATCATCTGCAAAATCCCTCAGTGACAGTTTTGGTTTATCCTCAGAGTTACTCATAACATTAGTCTTTTTCTTATTCCATTTTTTGTTTCTGTCTTTTTGGAAAAAACGCAGTTCATCCGTGCTTTTCAAGATGCTGCAGTTCTTAGCATGGCTTTGCTGAACATTTTGCTGTTGAATATTAAGTGTGCCATTTTCCTGAAGTTTTTGTGCAGAGTATTTGATATGTACTTGGAGGTCTGCAGTACACTTGCAAAATTTTTACGAACTTGCCATTAATTTTGATTAACTCTAAAAGCATAACTGATTTTTAGGGAAAACTTTAAAAAAATGTTTTTATCCTTTCAGGGGCCGCCTCCCTACCCCACCCCACCCCACCCCAATGTTTTAGGAATAGATTATATTTGTATGGGAGTTATTTAAAGGTTGTTTATGTACTGTGGTATGGTGAAAACTAAAGATAGCCCTTTCTTACCACACTGGGAGTATCTTCTCCCCGTATTCTTCTCACTCTTATGTAGTAGTCATCATGATCATCATATCTTACCCCATCCTTTTCCCTAACTCAAAATATGTGCCATGGAGTTGGCTGGCTTTAATTTAGGACCTTGGTAATCTGCAGATCTGCAAAAGAAGTCATGTTATACATTCCTCTCCAGTTTTTTTGTATTTCATGGTCTAAATGTTCTTAGCTGTGTGTTTCGCAACATCAGCTTCTTCCACTTCAACCCCCTCAAATTACTGTGGCCTATGACCTGTTACAGTATTTTTTAAATCATACAGAGGGAGAAAATTAACTAACATGAAAAATGAATATATATTTTGATTAAAATATGTAAAAGCACCTGGTAAAAAGAAGCACCTTGAGCTCGCACTGGCTTCAAAGGCCTGTGGTTTGCATCAGGCGCCTTGAGGGTCTGCATCATGGGCCTTGTAAACTGGGAGACTGAAACAGTTGGTGGGTGGGTGACTCTTATTTCTGAGCACAGTTTTCAAAACATTTAAAGTATGTTATGTAACTGAGCATAGTTTTTAATTAGCAATAAAGAGATAAAGTACTAAATATTTAAAGTTAAACAGCTTTTCTTTTCAAAAGAAAATGGAATCTTACCCCTCCTTTTAAAGTCACCAGATTTTAGAAGCTTGACTGCTTCATTCCAACCTTAGCACTTGTTCTGGAATTGATACCTTTTTCAGTGTCTGAAGCTGTCAGCTTATAATTTTATATGATGCTGATTGATGTGAGATCAAAGGCCTTCTGTTTTAATAGGTTATGGTTTCATTTTTCACGTTCTGTATATTTACAGTAAGAATGAGAGCTGGGATTTTCTGTTCCATTTGGTTTGGTTTTTCTTTTTTTATATTGATCGGTAATCAAGGTTGATGGTGCAGAAGTCATTGCTGATTGAAATCACTCAGTTGAACTAAAAGTTCTTACTGGAGTCCTTCAAAAATCTGGAGGTATCTGAGACTGGTCTTATATAGCATCAGTAACCTTGAATACTGAAAGAGTAACAGATTCATATAAATATATTTCCTCATATTGATACTTGAAAGAAAACAACCTGATATTGTATAGAACAGGAAGATCTGAATGTGTAACAGCAGCAGCCATGCCTGGGTATGACATGGGCAGCCAGGTAATCAATACTGACTGTCAGTGCTATCAAATCTAGGGAGTTTTTAGATGATACTTTTCTTTAATCAGCCAGTAGTAAAGTACTTAATTATGGCAGAGCATCATTGGTAGATAAAAGTGACAGATGCATTTCTTAAACTCTGTTAATATAAACTTCTATAAATTGAAATTACATCTTTTTTTTTCCTCCAGATTTCCATTATCATGTTATTATTCAAAGAAAATCTTTGTGAAAGTTTATATTGTACACCTGACGGTTTGCTTTTCTGACATTGCATTGCAATGCTGTGTTAATAGGTTCCTGAAATTTAGCTGAAAATAAAGTGGCAATAGAGTGTTTTATGACCAGTTTTCTGAATCATAGCCATTCAGGTTTTCTCTCAGGAGAACCTCTGTGTTTACATCTTCCTAGAAGAAGGAGGACACCTGAGAAATTACCTAGGCAGTAATTTTTTTTTTTTTAATTTTTTGGCTGTACCACACAGCATACAGGATCGAGTTCCCCGACTAGGGATCTAACCCACACCGTACAGTGGAAGCATGGAGTCTTAACCGCTGGACCGCCAGGGAAGTCCCAGTAATTTTCTTAAAATTAGTCCAAAAAAAGGACCTAAAACGGAATCAAAACAAATGCTAAGTGAGCTTCAAGTTGAAAAACTCCTCTGCATTTATTAATCATTCTACGGACCTCTCACTGTTGTGGCCTCTCCCGTTGCGGAGCACAGGCTCCGGACGCGCAGGCTCAACGGCCATGGCTCCCGGGCCCAGCCGCTCCGCGGCATGTGGGATCTTCCCGGACCGGGGGACGAATCCGTGTCCCCTGTATCGGCAGGCGGACTCTCAACCACTGCGCCACCAGGGAAGCCCATGTACCAGAATTTTTATAACATACTTAATATTAGTGATATTAATCACATGGTAAATAATTGCTTTAAAGGTTACAGACTAATTAGCAAATACATACAGTCCAACGAGCATTTTTGAGTTTTCATAGAAATTAGTCTAATTTTATCAAGTATTTACCCAAAAGTCTTTTTTTGTGTTTTGTATATATATTCATATGCTCTTAAAATATATATACACATATATATATTTCACATACTTAAAAAGGGATACTATAGAAAGTTGAATTTTAATTGGCAAAAGTGATTTTGTTTTAACTTAATGCCAAACCAATTTTTTAAAAGATTATAAGATACCTTACTATGAAAAAGTTCTGACTTTCTAAATATAATATACATGTCCTTATATAGTCAGTAGTCTGTATAATACGCTTCTCAGATTGAAGCTTGAGCACTGCTCAAGCTTATATAATTACTATGTAGCCCCCTTTCACTTACTTTTCTAGTGTTGCTGAGGTACCTCAAACAAAGGTATTCAAACTCAGAGCTTTTTTGCTAAAGATGAGTTTGAAAAATGCTAAAAAAGTATTGCCATGAAATATTATATCATGCAGAACTTGAGTTAATCAGAATATTCATGAAATTACATTTTTCTTATTAGTAGAATTTTCATATTGAGGACAAAATAGTAAACTTCAATTCTAGATGGAAATTTTTTTAATAAATTATATTCGGGAATTCCCTGGCTGTCCAGTGGTTAGGACTCTGCGCTTTCACTGCCATGGCCCAGGTTCAGTCGCTGGTCGGGGAGCTAAGATCCCATAAGCCATGCAGCATGGCCAAAAAATGAATTAAAAAAAAAAAAATTATATTCATCTTTTCTTAAGAAAAACTTCAGTAATTATTATCAGTGATGGGAGACAGGCCATGCTTAAAGTTAATTATTTAAAGAATAATCTTGTTTTCTTATGCTTTCCTTCTGACAGGCAAAAGAAATGAATTCAATATAGTGGAAGGTTGATTAAGATTTTTATTAGTTGATATTTAATTATCTTTATTGAATAAGTTGATAAAAGGTTTAAATAAATTTTCATTGGTACCAAAAATATAGGTACAACAGAATAAATCTAATTTATATGTGTAATATTATTTCTATGGCTTTAAGGAGATACCACTCTAAAGTTATAAGTACACAGTACCCATCTTTCTTTTTTATAATATGCCAACTGATATGAAAATGAATATGCAGTAAGATTCCCTAAATAAAAATATTACCCTAAATATTTCTTACAAATTACTAAGTTTCCGTTTTAAAATACTTGTCTTTTTTTCTTTTGACCCTGGGATATAGGGTACAAAGCATATTTTAATCTAGATATAGCACTAGCCACTACTTATGTTCAAATTATGCATTCCATGGTTTAGTAAAGCTGTTTGGCGTTTAACTTTAAATATTAAATAAACAAAGTATATGTAGACATTTAGTAGCTAAGGCTTTACATCTTTTATTTCTTAAAAATGAGAAATACTGATTTTAGCATTATCTCACATTTTTTATTCTGGATCTAAGCATTTTAAAACTTATTTTTCATTACTTCCTTTTTTCAAGTGGGAATATAAATTATTTTCTTGGATCTAGGTGCTTTAATTTAGAATGACAATTGACACTTCTCAGGACACATTCAGTGGTCTGTATTTGAAAATAGTACACAAGTATTCTGACTTTTGTCATTAAATTCATTTTTCATGTGATGTTCACTTCTATGAAAGTTTTGTGGCTTAATAATCACTGTGTATACCCCTAAGTAGTCACAGAATCATTTGCATGAGGTACGTGAAAGCAGTGTCTTGAAGTGAAACATGGAAATCCAGGATTTATTATTGTATGTTTGGAATGCTTACATTTTTAATCTCCTGATTCCCACATTCCTAGATCCACTTAAAGTTATCTACTGTTTAAATTATGCCTCTTGAGATGTAAATGTCAAGCAGTTTTTTACAGACAGGTCATATATAGTTGTAACTTTTACATTCTTGTGCATTTGTACATGTATATACGAAATTTAATTTTCCAATCTAGAATGTAGTTGGGATACATTACTCCTATCCCCACTTTGAGAAAAAGTGTACCATTTAGTAAACATGCAATGAGCCCCAATTACATTTTCCTACTATGTTTTTTACTGTCTAGCAGTAAATATGAAGTTAAAAGACAAGAGAGATGGTGCAGTTTTGCCTGCAGAGGCGCTATGATGTGACCTGGGGTATAACTGACTGGGATGGCTTATTTGAAGTCTTGGTAAACACCATCAGAAATGAGGATTTGCCTGACCAAAAGATATTTGGAAGAAGCTGAAAAAAGGATGTTTAAATACACTGAATAATAATTCACTACAATATAATGAAGCAAATGGTGTCAGCAAACACATAACCAACTTTTTACGCAATATGACTGTCCTTGGTTTATAATGTAGGCTTTCAGTTTTAAGAGGTTTTTGAGTGCTTTACCTCTTTTCGATTAAACCCATCCTTTTCCTCCATTATCTTTTAGTTCTTAAGACAGAGGAACAAGATAAGTCTATATTGTGTATGTGTGTTTGTATATTATGTATATGTATACAACGTGTTATAGGTTTTGTTAATAAAATTGTACTAAGATGTGTTGGCATCTGAGTGTACACATACACAGTTGTGTGATTATGTGTATACCGTGAAGGTACGGTTTTGACTGTTGAAATATGCCTGATTCAAAATTTGATTCAACACAGCTGCTACGATTGTATTTGTCAATTTTTCATTTAAATAATGTGTGTCTCGCAAATGGAAAATGTAAGGTGCTGTATGATTTTGTTTGGCCAGCTTATTATTTTGTTTGACAAGCCTAAGTTAACATCATTCTTATGTATCTTGCATATTGTATCACTGTTAAATAAGTTTCTATTTTTGTAATGATCTGTGTTTGAATTAAACTTCTAAAAGTATAAGAATCATTAAAAACCCATTTTTGTTACTGTTATATAAATCTAAAATATTAACTATAAGCTAATTAAATGTGTATTTTTTAAATTATTTTTAAAGTTGCTCTATGACATTTTCCCTTATAGCTGTCACAGGATGAATGTAGAGGGACATTATACAAATACAGACCTGAAGAAGTAGATATTGATGTACGTATTAGCATATGCGATATATTATCAATGCTCTGTCGTACTCTCTGGCAAAACACTGGAACTAAGCATGACAAAAAATTTCCTCTTCCTCTCCTGCCGTCCAAAATGACATCAAACAAGTAACATTTTCTTCTTTTGAGCCAATTAAATCCTCACTTCCTGATTTATTACCTGGCCACCCCCACGCCCATAGCAGCTGAACATAATTTAGAATCATTTAAATGAAAGTAAAGACTATTTCTGATATAAAATTATGCAGGATTGGAGACAAAGTAAAATTGTCATCTAGAGAAAGTATTGGCCTCAAGAAATTGTGTCACTGCATCCTTTGTTATTGTTGTTAATCATATTTTACATCACTGACGTCCCTATTTATATCTCATTCTTCCCTCCTTTCCCCTGGTTTTATTCCATTGAATTGTACCTCCTTCTCATTTCAATTGTATCCCATCTGATGTAGCTTGAGTTGTGTTCTAACAAAGAGTTAAGGTGGTTATTTTGTGGTACGCTGGCCTCTCACTGTTGTGGCCTCTCCCGTTGCGGAGCACAGGCTCCGGACGCGCAGGCTCAGCGGCCATGGCTCACGGGCCTAGCCGCTCCACGGCATGTGGGATTTTCCCAGACCGGGGCACAAACCCGTGTCCCTTGCTTCGGCAGGCAGACTCTCAACCACTGCGCCACCAGGGAAGCCCAGGGTGGTTACTTTAATGGATAAATGGCAAAGAAAGTGGAATCTCAAATTTCTTGCTTTCTTATCATTATGCAGTAACGTTTGGGACATACTTACAGTTTGTCCAGGGTTTTTATTTTCAGACATACAGTGAACTGGTTTATTGCGGGATTGAAATTTTATTAAAGTACCCTCTCATATTTTTATAATTTAATAAATTGGGGTATTACCAAGAATTTAAAACATTGAAACTATTGAAAGTGATTTTTCTCCATTAGCAGTGTTTTTATTTGTATTATTGTAGTTAGAAGCGATTTTTCTGAAGAACATAAGAACATAATTTTTAAAATATAAAAACAATCCAGTCTGTGTTTTAATTAAGGACTGCATAAGTTAACTTAACCTATCCAGCAGTTTGTAGAGAAAATATCTTAACCACATTAAAATGGTTCATTAAAGTCATATGAGACTGCCTGATTACTAAGAATCTTTTGAATTATGTAGGTTAAATAGTATGGTTGAAATGCTTTTTTACTCTATATGCATTTTTTAAGCATTCTATCTTTAAAGGCTATATTTCAGTTTTTATTTTACTGATTGAAATAAAGACTGACCTAATTAGCTATTCCATGGCTGTTTTAAATGTGTTTTTTTATTATGCCTAAATCCAATTACAGGGAAAATTAAAAATTGCTAACAAAAGATGTCTTCTCTTGTAACCTAGGTCAAGTTAAGCCGATTATGCGAGCAAGATAAAGTGGTACATGCTCTGGAAGAGAAACTTCAGCAACTCCACAAGGAGAAAGTAGGACAATGATGTTTATTATCTACAATTGATGTTATTTTATATCATTATTATCAGGACACTGATAACTAAAGTAAAAAAGAATTAATTCGATGATGCAGAATATTAAGTGTAATCATTTTTATTATAATAGTACACGCTTGAGCAAGCTTTGCTGTCAGCCAGCCAAGAGATAGAAATGAATGCAGATAACCCAGCAGCCATTCAGACCGTGGTGTTACAGAGGGACGATTTACAAAATGGACTGCTTAGCACGTGTCGAGAACTCTCTCGGGCCACTGCCGTAAGTAGCAGATTTTCTGTCCTAGTAAGAGTCACTGGAATGTTACGTAGTTCTTTTTTGTTTTCTTTTTTCCTATTTATTTATATCTCTATTTAAGTGGGCTTTCTTTAGGATTTTTCTTTATTATAACAAAAATTTAATTTGTTATTATTAGTTAATAATAACAAAAACAAAGGGTGGTCTTTGTTTTTTTAATTAGCGGGGCTTTTGTTCTTTGTGAAATAGTTTTACAGAGAAGATAAATACACCTGGTTATATATTATGAAAATGAAAAGTTCTTTAAAATGTTAAAATTTATTGTGTTAAAAAAAAATAAATGTTTTATTATAATAATTTTTGGAAGGTAATAATTGGATTCATTTAACCACCCATTTCAATTACAGGCCCCTGTGAAATGCTTTTAGGACGCTGTCAACATTACCATTTTATAGCTGCAGTGTGATCTAAGTTTAGGTGATAGTTTTGAGTGAGAAATGTAATTAGCAGAATCTTTTAACCCATAGTCAAGTTACCTGACAAAGAGTCTCTTGGGATTACCAAATCTAAAAGTCTTACTTAGAGTATATAAATTGAGTGTTTTATGAGTTTAAACAGTCTACTTTAGATCCTGTGATGTCATCATTTCTAAAGACAGTAAGAGCACCCGCCCAAGCAGCCCTTTGAAACGGGGAAAAAAACACCTGTTATAGAAAACTGCTAACACACCCTTGTCTATACCTTCAGTGGGCTGTTTAGGGGGCAGCTACCTTTTAAGAAAGTCCACAGACAGTATAGCTTAACTAAGAGAGGTCTTTCCAAGCTGCGAAGCTACCAGAATCTCAACATGACTTCAGTTCTAAACACTAAATTCACATTCCAAACATGAACTGTTTTTAAAGGAATATACCATGGTTTGTTTGTTTGTTTGTTTGTTTGTTTTGCAATACGCAGGCCTCTCACTGTTGTGGCCCCTCCCGTTGCAGAGCACAGGCTCCGGATGCGCAGGCTCAGCGGCCATGGCTCACGGGCCCAGCCGCTCCACAGCATGTGGGATCTTCCCAGACCAGGGCACGAACCCGTGTCCCCTGAATCGGCAGGCGGACTCTCAACCACTGCGCCACCAGAGAAGCCCTATACCATGGTTTTATATAAATCAAAACTTGGTTTTTGTGCCTCTTAAGTACCTTATATTTAATATACTTATTCTTTTAAAAAAAAAATACTATTATTGGGACTTCCCTGTTGGCACAGTGGTTAAGAATTCGCCTGCCAATGCAGGGGGCACAGATTCCATCCCTGGTCCAGGAAGATACCACATGCCAGGGAGCAACTAATCCCATGTACCACAACTACTGAGCCCACATGCCGCAACTACTGATCCTGTGTGCTGCAGCTACTGAAGCCTGCGCGCCTAGAGCCCATGCTCCGCAACAAGAGAAGCCACCACAACGAGAAGCCTGTGCACCGCAATGAAGAGTGGCCCCCTCTCACCACAGCTAAAGCCCACACACAGCAACAAAGACCCAATGCAGCACCCCCCCCAAAAAAGTGTGATGAATGATTGAACTGAATGACTTACCCAGCATTACAAAGCAAATACATGCAGTGCCCAGAGGTCAAATGCAGGTCTTCTAACCATAGTCCTGAAGACTTAGATCTACATGGCTTTTTATAATATCATCATAGAGAAACTATATGAACCTAAAATGTTGTCTGCAAGCGAGAAGTCATTTAGTTCGTCAGTGATGGGTAAGATTTGGAAAAAAGAGGAAGTCCACACGGGACAAAATGCTCTGAACCATAGCCCAGAGATGAGAGTGTGCAGGATATGTTTGGAGAAGCAAAAAATAGAACTGACTGGCTGACTGAAATAGAGGATGCGAATTATGAGATAAGAAAGGGGAAGAGGGGTTAAGCTGTCAGTTCCAAGCTAATGAAAAGCTCAGTATCCCTGTGACAACCTGAGTCAAATCAAAATTAAGTTAGAAACTATTTCATGATGTCATGTCTGTTATGGAAAGTTCTAGGGATGTACAATGTTCCATTAAACTGTTACTTCTTCCCTTACCAAATAGGTTTCATAACTTAAATATGATCAGTAGGCTTAGAATTTGCTCCATCCCAAGGTAACTCCAGTCGTGATGGAAGTTTTATCGGAATATGTTCAAAGAAATTAATCATGTTTGAGTATCTCATTTTCTGGTTGTTATCCCATATAATCAACTTTCCTGGGTTTTGTTTTCTTTGCCTTTAGCATTATTCAGTGGTCATTACAAACCCTCAATATGTTCTTCTAAGACATGTTTTAATGCATAGAATACAAAGCATGTTATTTGTGCCTTTATGTAAACATACTCATTTTTGTAGCTTAAGGCTATAAATGTCGAGCTTATAACAACATACTGGACATATATGGTTGGCACTCAATGGATGTTGATTAGATGTAAATTTGAACATTTATGCCAGCAGAATCCCAAAGGATTCCTCTGATTCTTTCACAGTTGATTTGGGGCATTGGTTCAAATCCAAGCCTTGAGTTATAAAAGATACAACATAAGAGGTATAACATTAAGGCCTCCATAGATCAAAGCCTTGATTCTGAGAACATCTTCTCCTTACCTGGTCGGCCACTAAGGTATTAAAACTAGGATTAACACAAGGTAAACATGTAAAGCAGTGTTCCCTTTGTGTTTGATTTAATTCTTTTTTTTAAATTAATTAATTTATTTTATTTTTGGCTGCATTGGGTCTTTGTTGCTGCACCGGGCTTTCTCTAGTTGTGGCGAGCAGGAGCTACCCTTCGTTGTGGTGTGCAGGCTTCCCATTGCGGTGGCTTCTCTTGCTGCGGAGCATGGGCTCTAGGCACGTGGGCTTCAGTAGTTATGGCTCGCGGGCTCTAGAGTGCAGCCTCAGTAGTTGTGGCTTGCGGGCTTAGTTGCCCCGTAGCATGTGGGATCTTCCTGGACCAGGGCTCAAACCCATGTCCCTGCATTGGCAGGCGAATCCTTAACCACTGCACCACCAGGGAAGTCCCTTGATTTAATTCTTTTTTAAAAAATAAATAAATAAATAAATTTATTTTTTTATGGCTGCGTTGGGTCTTCGTTGCTGTGCGTGGACGTTCTCTAGTTGCAGCAAGCAAGGGCTACTCTTTGTTGCAGTGCATGGGCTTCTCATTGCGGCGGCTTCTCTTGTTGCACAGCGCGGGCTGTAGACGCGTGGGCTTCAGTAGTTGTGGCTCGCAGGCTCTAGAGCACGGTCTCAGTAGTTGTGGCGCACGGGCTTAGTTGCTCCACAGCATGTGGGATCTTCCAGGACCAGAGATTGAACCCATGTCCCCTGCATTGGCAGGCGGTTTCTTAACCACTGTGCCACCAAGGAAGTCCTTGATTTAATTCTTGATGCAGCATCTCCTCTCCCTAAGCCCCACCCACCAGACACACACATGCTTTAAGCATATAATGACTTTGTGTGCTCTCCTGGCCTCTACTTCTTTTTTTCTTGCTTTCGTTTTAATTTTTTTAACTTTATTCTACTTCTTTTTAACCTAAGCCTGATTAGTGAGAAAACTTTTTATAGCAGTCAGTTATACCTTGAAAGTTTTCAATGTGTTGCTGTCTTTGCTTAGATTTTCTTCTGAAAGCAGAGCCTGGGATGAGGACCTGGGCTCAGAAAGTTTATTTGTGAGCAATTACAGGAAGCAGAAGTGAGGGAGGGAGTGTGGAGAATGAGACAGGGAGGGAGAAAAGCCAATAGAGGTTTCACTTCTGAGTTGGTCACCACTGTGGGTGACCCTCAGGGGACCTTCTGAGGAAATGAGCTGAGAATGTTTGAACATGAGAATGTTTCCGAATTTTCCACTGAGAGGCGGAGAGGCTAGGGTATCTATCACTCCTTGGTCGAAGTTGCCCCAGGGTCCTTAATTCACCCACATTTCCAAACCACCTTAGCTAATTGACCACGAACACTGGCACACGTGGAGCTGAACCACAGTTTCTTGAAATCAGGTGGGCAGAGGGCATAAACATCTGCTGCAGTCACCTCTCTTGGGGAGTTTACATTAGGCCTTATCTCTAACTGTAAGAGAAATATCCTCATGCTTTATCCGCTTAACAGGTGCTGCTTTTATTCTTTCCAACAATTCAAGGAGCCAGGTAAAGCAGACGCTATGCACATGTCTTAGATGAGAATGTGGGGCTCATCCAAAATATATTTGTATTTCTATATTTTGTACATATATTGTCTGGTTTGGTCCTAAGCAAATGCTTTGCAAAATAGATATAATTACTATCTCCATTTTATTTTCATTTTTATTACCTCCACTGCACAGATGAAGAAGAAACTCAGGTTCATAGAGGTTAAATGACTTGCGAAAGTGACATAGCCAATACGAAAAAGTCAACACCTAAATCAAGGACTTTTATAATTCTAGGGCTTCTATACTTTCTATTCCACTTCACTGTCTGTGTGGTCACTAATTTGTACTTTCTGAAACTTGGAATCAAATCTAGATTCTCTTACTCAGAAATCTCAAACTGGAATTTCACAGTTCAATCCTGGGTTTTGGCACCAAAATAATTAAGTAGTTAATTAATTAATTAATTAATTAAAATTGGACTTTCAGATATCCGAAAACAAGTATAAAGGCCCCCAGTCATCCCGAATGGCTGGTAGATGGCTTATGCATTTATCTACTGCAGAATAGGACCAATATATGAAATAATAGTAAATACTGTGAATATTTCTGGAGCAGTTTATTGAGTGCCAGATTCCATAAGTGCTTTTACATGTACTTAAGCCACATAATAACCCTTTGACAAGGGTACTATTATTACTATGTTAAAAATGGAAAACTGAAGCACAGAGAGATTGCCCAGGGTTACATAGTGAATAAGTATTATGTATAGACTTCCATTAAACTTATTTATGTTTTAAACCGCCTTCTGCATGGGAGGGCCATGAGTAAATGGAGATTTTAGACTAGAATGGATAAACTTAAAGGGGCAAGGGAGGAGGACAAA